CACATGTCGAAACGACAGAAAAACGCTCTGTGACTTACTGGTTGTTGCAGTATCGCCGTTAACGCGGTGTATAATCCATGACTCGTTGTACAGTGCTCGAGCTTCATGCACAGCAGCCGCGCGACAGATGCGCACCGGATGCGCGTGACCCGCTCCAGCACAGCAAGCAGGATGAGATCCCGCAGGCCTTCACATGTGTAATATCAGTATTGACATAAACAAGTTTGTTATTATTTTAATGAATGTTAAATGCAGATACAATGTCATTCAATTGAAACACTTTGAAATCTGAAATTGAATTTTAAGTCACCGTTAAACGTTCTTGAATAAGCAGCTTTGAATAGTATAATAACAGAAACAACTAATATTGGTTATATCAACTTATCCTGTAATTACCATAGGAAATAATAAATAACAGCTAATAATAATATAAATAACTGCTAATAATAAGTTAGACCGGGACTTGTCGTCACAGCACTACATATTGCTCTTTTGTTGGTTTGATTGATTCTATTGTCCTCATTTCTAAGTCGTCTTGGATAAAAGCGTCTGTTAAATGACTAAATGTAAATGTAATGTAAATGTAAATAATATAGATATGGACCGGGACTAGTTGTCACAAGAGCTATTATAGAAACTATGTTTTGAATGTATTTGAGTGAAAACTCCAATTACCCAATTTTTTTTCAGTTAAAACATCCAACAAATGCTATAATAATGTAACAGCAAAACAATTAATATTAAATATAATATTAATTCTCATTACTCATCATCTGAAATGACAGAAGTCAAGGGTTGAAGGATTAAAGGGGTAGCCTACTATTTGCCTGGACTGGAGGTTGGTTTTTAATAATTGTCAGTGGAATGATGAGACATTTTTATATGGGGCAGGTTGTCACATCTTTTAAATGTTAGACTTTTATCATTCAAATTCATTTTTAATGAATGAATAATAATTTGGTTTGGAAGATGTTTTTGATATTTCTGTATGATACTTTTAACAAATTTGCTATTTCATGAGTAGTCTCTATTACAGTTAAAAATGCTACTGAAAAAGGATTTGAATAACTAATACTGCAATAATGGCTGTAAACATACCCTTACGAAAAAGAAGTTTATTCAAGTGTGCTATTAGTATACTTCTTTTAAACTAAAAATAGGAAAGTATACTTTTAGTCTACTTTTTATGTACTTCTCAGAAATGGGCTTTATGTACTTCTCAGAAATATACTTAAAATGACATTTAAGTATACTTGACTTATACTTAGAAAAAAGTCTAAATATATTTGAGGTATACTTGTGCTCCAGGAATCCATGTTTTCATTGTTATACGGTAGGGGGCGCTAGTACACATCTTCTGTACAGAATTTCCAAAAAACACAAGTGAAGAAGAAACCGAAACAACAGATGCTTCCACATGTA